GTTAGATGAATTGAGCAATCTCTCTTCTTCTCGACGCGTCTACCAGCGAAACGGAAACCTCTTCTTCCTCACAAGATCGGAAAAAGCGAAAACCAATGCCCAAAAACAACTTGAACTTGCGAAATCTGAAATCGACAAGATCCGATCTCAGACATAATAACAATGGAGGAGCACGTCTGAAGATCCAATTGTCTTTCTCAATTTTAAAACATTAACCCTTTTTTCTCTTTTTTTTCTTTCTTTAATGTATTATTGCTTCATGCTTGATGCTATCAATGAAAACAATTTCATCATTCTCTTTGTATATCACAATCTTGAATTTTTGTGGAATTGCTTGCTTGCCCAACAGTTTGAGAACTTTGTTAAACCCAACAGAGAACTCTCTAAGTATTACTACTTATGAGCTTAATTAGTCAAAAACACAGTTTTCACTATGGTTTATGTTACAACTATCAACTTGTTAAAGTAATTTGAGAGACAAAACTTGTCCTTATGCAACTTGACTCCAATGCTATAGTCTTATAATCCTTCTCATGTGCACTGTGTTTAGAATCAAATTCTCTCTTAAGAGTCACTTACAAAAACCTGAACCATATCGAACTTGAGTTTCAATGCAAATTCACGCAAAATAGTGTCGAAAAGTTTCGACTCAAAATCGACGCAACCGATTTCATCCACTGCTAGTTATTTTTAAACCAGCCTCGTACCAACTGATCCATGATATGCCTGAGGCTTCTTCTGCATTAGCCCTTATGAGAACATATTACATAAAAACATTAATGTTCCAACACATCCATTGACAATGAAAAGAAGAAGCTTCACAAACTATTCAACCTCAACTTCATCTTCCTCGCAATCATCTTCTCCACTCTCTCTCAACCTTCAAGCCGTCTTCAATGTCCCCATTGTTGGGGACCAATCTCTCACCTCATCTTTTACATCTCAGTAGCACAAACACTTCGTTGCATCAATGGTTTCAAGTATCAACGTCGTTGTCATAAGCTTACTCTTGGTCTTGCGACGGAGAAGCTCCGGTTCGTCAAGATCTCCGCCGTTGATGACGATGTCTCCGCCGCTATTGCTGCCGGCGATCTCGAAGTTCCGTACCAAGAACCGTCGGAGATTTACTCTGTGAAGTTTAAGAGAAATTGGGCTCTTCATTTTGTGTTCTTGATCTCTTTTAATGCTTTCTTGGTTACTTTCTCTGTAGTTGTCCTCTGTTTCTGATCTCGAGGGATATTTTCGGAATTTCTTCGGTTTAACCAATTAATCATACTTTATTCAAGGCTAAAATGGTAATTTATCCATTTACTTGAATTTGTAACAGACGAACATTATTTTGAGACATGATAGCATGAGGATACATAAATTAAGAAGTACAAAAAACTTGA